GTAGAAAAAAGCATGTGCATGAGAAGGAAAGGTTTTTCTTAAGAGAACGACGAAGATAGTCAGCATGGAAGAAGGAACACTGGAATTTCGGAAAGCTTAAACGAAAAATCACTACTGAAGAACCGGTCATACTATGCCGTTAGCAACTTTCTACGCCAGCTTCTTCAAATCTGTCGAATTTTGCTGATGATCTAAAATCATTATATCTATTCTAAACAAAGACGAAACGATAGGCGGAAATAGAGCCTAAAAAGCGTAGTGTGATTGGATCTAAGAAGATTTAATCAGTTATACGTTCATAAATTATTCACCCATTCTAAAGCCATAACAAAAAACAATTTACGAAGTCAATGGGATTGAAGTGCATGACCGTAAGATGGAAAGAACAAAGACTATTTCTGGGCTTCAACAACTTTTCCAGAAACACAACGCTTAAATTTTTTCTTCAAATTCTTCGTGAACGGTAATCATGGAAATAATTGTGTTACGTTCCAATCTTTGATAAATTTGTCATTTTTAAAGTTCATCAAAAATGATAATGCTGAATTAGAAATGATGTATTAGAAAACTGTATCTATGTGAAACTGTTAAGAAAGGCAGGCCACGAGAAAATCAAACTATTATCAAAGCTCACCCATCCTTCCTCTTTCTAATGAAAATCAGTCCAAGTTCTCGCATATGCATAGCTAAAGTCGACTGTTCCTCCGTCCAATTAGGATTGATCTCAAAAGCCGTAGTAGAGAGATCGGCTCCTAAATGATTTGATCTCACATAAACAAGAATGCGCCAAAAATATAAATACCTATCACAACACATAAAATAATCCTTATGAGGAGATCCATGATTGGCCGAATGTCTCGTCCCTTTGCCATTTCAAGCTTGAGATATTCTACAACACGGAGTACTGAATCAACAAAAAAATCATGAAAACAAAGAGCAGGTGACTGAAAACGAACACAAATAAATACTCTGTTTACCCAGGTATAATATCCCTTCGTAAAAGGCCACATCCTTAACTTTGTAAGGCCGATTCTATCACTCCTGTGAAGGATCTTTTTCAAAAAATCTGTCAATAAATGCTAAAAAAATTGACCACATTGAAGTCCAAAAATTGATATTGCTGATATTGAGCAAACTCTCAATAAAAATTAATGCTTTTTATTGTCCGACTCCCAGTAAATCCTTCATAAGTGAGGCAATTTCGGGTTCGCCTTCAAATCAGCTTCTTATATGAAGCCTTTTTTCCCAAAACAATTAGAAGCTCAAAGTTTGTCCGAAGCCAAAACCAAACTGCAGTTCAATCCCTTCGCGACCCTTCGACAAGGTACAATTCCAACTAAAAAATATGTTTTTTGTGGGAACTTCACGCAACGGTCACTCTATCACCGCCTCATGCGCGAACTCACATACAAGCTGTTCTACATCCGGGTAAACAGGGTCAGTATTTGAAGCAGTTTAGACGTACAATCAAAAGCAAAATGACAACAACCTCACCTATCATATATGTCCAAAGTTGTTGAACAGGACTAAGTAATAGAAACTGAAAACCCGCAGAAGTTATTTCAAGATCAGCTGAGCCCTCATTGTCGCTTGTAAAACCGGCAGCAGAGAAAAGTTCTCGTGTAGTTGCTGACACTGAGTTCATGTTCTTATCAGATGGTAAGGCGAGGTATCTTAAAAACCGCTATTACTCACTGTTTCCCTAAGGTATAGAAACTTTCAAAAGATTAACCTCAATATACATTCCCATCGCTCACCAGCTTTCTTTCCAAGCTCTTTTTCATTCTGACGTCGCTTGGGATCTACTTCCACAGGATTGATTTTTGAGCATTTCTGTGCACCAAGCATGATGGCGCGTAGATATGACTGACGAAATGAAGGCTAAAGGACATGGTTGGTACCACATGTTATATGTCTCAAATGTGTTTCAAAAAGTAAAACATACGTGTATACTCCCACTTTCAGTAATAAGACCCAGTTTAATCAACAGCTTCTCTGACAACTCTAGTTCAGCAGACGTGTCATGGGACATCGCGGTACTGCAAATCGAGTTTTCCTCAGAATAAAAAAATTACTTAGATTGAAGCAAAAGTGATTTAGTCGAAGTATTTTATTAACAAAATCACTGCTAACCTAACATTAGAATTCCATATCATCTTGATCACTACCTGCTGTGCCACATTCGGTAGCATGCGGAATACGAAGAGAGCTGCAAGTCCAATAATGGTATCATAGAAAAACAAAAAGGAAAGGAAAAAACCAATTAACTATACGACCTACCGCATGCTGGTTGTGTGTAAAGAAAAGTTCTTTCTTCAGTACCCAGAGTACAAACATAATCGAGAAATAGATTACCCGATGATGGTAAGGTCCCAGCAGTAGCCATTCGGCCAACCTGTGCTAGTCGTAGGCTAGAGAGAAGAAAATCGGCAACTTTGTCAAAACAGAGATATCATTTCCCAAATTTTGAACAAGATCGCCTTT